TGTTCGTGTGAGTGGCGCTAGCGGGTGGAGCGCTGGTGGCTGGTGGCAGGCGGCCAAACTATCACTGAGTCGAAACAAATTCCAATGTTACAATACATTATAAATTGTGTCGTGTTACATAATAAGCAGCAGAGGATACTACTCCGTTGGCTGGTTCTGAATCTAGTTACGCACAATCGAGTGGTTGAGGGACGATTTCATTGGAAAAACTCTTTCCTAGTGAGTACTTCTCGATCATCAAGCTTGTAATTTCCGGAATAGTAGGAGGCGAGTAAACAATGAGTGGACGAGTAGGCCTACAGCCAGTAGTAGGATCAAGTGGAGCCACTCAGATGTCGGTGGACAGTGTGCAGGGAGGAAGGGAGCTAACTACGGGTCAGTTAATAGGCACTCGTCGGTGGCGCTCGCTCGCTCGCCGCGGGAGTTTTTCCAATTTGTTCGACAAATAAAACTCGCCGGCTTACATTTACGAAGTGACAGCACGAAGCACCTGATACACTTTATTTAGTTACCGACTAACACACCACCCGCTTGATTTAAGAGCCTGTCAAGTGATCACTTACAATTACGAGTACTAGCATACATTACCAGTCAACGCGCAGATGTCTGAGGACAATAGCAAGGAAAGTTTAATTACCTGAAAATAAGGAAAACATTGTTTTAAAATCAAATAGGTACTTGGTCTAAATATACTACAAATAGATAACAAATGTTGAAAAATATTTCTATTAAAACCGATAAACTGACAGCGGGTACGAGCAAACATAAGAAACAAGATGTATTATGTATAACATTGGGAAAGTTCGACAAGTTATGATAAGTTTATGTAGGTGTTCCGCACCGGTCCGGTCCTTGCCGCGCGCCGGTTTCTGCCGGTCATCATAACAATCTATTGACCGGAGATTGGAGGTCGGGATTGAGATTTTCTTGCATCCCTCCGACCCTTTTTACATTTGTGTAGTATCATTATGCAATGACCCAAACAAATTCTGATATGATCTTACTCTCTTTTCGTGTGAGTACACGCTCTTCGGTTTTCTTACCGAATTTTAATAGTATTAAAACACGAAATAGATGACTTTGAGATGCTTTTTATTTTAAAACCATATCATATAGTCGTCATGACCATACTAAACAACACAATACAATAAGTTTAATTAACGCAAAATGAAGCACCACAGGCGTGAATGAGGTTGATTATGGAGGTCGCCTCGAAGCAGTGCGCGACTACTCTACCACTGTGCAGCGGAGATTCGGGCACGTCGTAAGGACGAGCAGAATCAATACGCAATCAAACTGTCGGCCGCAGAGTTAGCTGCAAATATTTTCCTATTCACAATTGTGGAAGTTGCCGGGCGAGGGGGGTGAGGGGTGCGGCGTAATTTGATTTCGAGTAACGCCCTAAATTATTTACCATTTCCATTTCTGGCTCCAACGCCTCCGCCTCCATTAGATTTGCACTCTCTACTATTGTGGAGCTGCTTAATTTAGATGATTCGCTTTGATCGTATTTTGATTCATTTTGGTGACCTTTCTCTTGATCACGATAGCTTTCAGCTTGTACCTATTACGCTGACATATATTTGCTTTAGATACTGTGCGATCAATACTTTATGTTCTATTTGCTCTATATTACAAGCCACTGATGGTGGTGGTGATGGTCCATCAAACTATACTGAGCGTTTTCAAATTTCAGGTAGGTATGTCTACCTACGAGTACGTACCTACAATAATAACCTAAAGGGTTAATGAAACCCCATTATATCAAACTAGCTTTTGCACGCGACTCCGTTCGCGTGGAAAAGTGCCTTCCTAAAGATTTTTTGTGCAAAAACTATCCTATGTCCTTTCTCGAGTTCCAAACTATGTACCAAATTTCACAGAAATCGGTTCAGTAGTTTAGGCGTAAAGAGACAGGCAGAGTTACTTTCGCATTTATAATAATTTATAATATTAGTTTGGATACCACCAGTCATTAATCCGAATGACTGGCGGCTTCAGAGAAATGCGTTTTGAAAAATGAATTATAGATAATGAGGTCTCTTATAATAAAGTAATCCATAGCACAGTAGATACACCCGTGAGCGCTGCCTACAAGTCGTACAGCTCGTAACTTGGTGCTATGACGCGAAGTTTATTTACATTCGCCTTGGAAGTATTGTACTTTGTTCCAACTTTCTGTAATCCTAACTTCTTTGGATGTTTTGACTTTTTATTTTCTTGTAAACCATGACACAAGTGTCAGGGCGACTATTTTCATTTTGATTCAAAATGAATGAACTATTAATTACACCAATCATAGTGGATTACCTTAAAATATTTAAATTATATTTCAAAGAGTTCGTTTAAAAATACATCTAGGTTTTACTTAAAGAAAAACTAAATCCTCTCGATACATATAATTATGTAATCAGTTCAAAGGTCGGACATACCTTCTAAGTAATTCATGAAGTTGCTGATATTTTTTTATGACTCAGCACGCAGTACTTAACACAAAGTTAAATAAAGATTAAAAGATTACGAAAACAAAGTTTATTTATGGTGCAGTTAGATTGCTAGTCGGTGCGCCGGTACCAGGGCAGCATGGAACAGCAGAGCGCAATTACTGCGGACAAAGGACAAACATTTGTAAACAGTATAAATGGAGGCGGAAGCAGAGCTCTAATGTCACCTATTTATTTACTTCGGTGGTTCGAGGCGCCTGGGCGTCGCGCGTCGCCTCCGCTGCCGCTCCGATTTCCCATGGGCCTCCATTATTAATACTTCGATTCCAAATGGATTTATTTTCAATATAAGAGGGATTCAATAGTACAAGCCACAACGTGACTTATATGTTATCGGATATAGCTCTCAAAATGTTCATGACACATATCTCTCAGTTGCAGGCACACCAACATATGCATATGTATATGTATGTGTATGTTTAATGAGTGACATGTCGATTGTATTGTCAGGACTGAGGAAATCGCGATTCAAGAGAGACATTTCCTGCACAGCCTCGAACTAAGTAAAACAATTACCAATAAAATAATTGCTGGTGTTGTTTCCATATGTTGCGCTGTCAGAAAAACTGATACTTTTTAATTTAACCGTCAATCAACAATGTTTAAACAGAAAATTTCCATTTTTTGTAATTCCGTTTCAATTTTATGCTTTACAAAACAGTGCAGAAATAGGTGTGTACATATATGTAGGTCAAGTGATAATTAATAGCAAAACAGTAGATGGAGTAGTCGACTGTGGCATGCCACTATGTGAGGTTGAATCTGTTCAGTATAGAGAAGGTCGTTACATTAGCAACTACTTAAGGCACGTTAGGGAAGTTATTTCCAACTTGAGTAAAAGGGCATGAAGTTTCCGCAAAGTCACTTTGTAAAAACAGTCCCGTGGCCCGCGGCGGAGAGCGACAAAAAGGTGAATCATTTCATAAGCGATACGCAATAACAAACAATTTGTTTGACATCAGATCCACGAGAGACACGGATCTCTTCTAATAGCTCCTTCACAGGAAATACACAATCGATAATTATGTAATTTGTTCTTAAGTATTCAGAGCACTTTGAGAAAATACAAACGCTCATGTCGAGTTTATGAAAATCTTCACATCTTTAATAAAATCAATAAATCCTTAACGGTTAGAAATAAATTAAAAAATAAATATTTCTATTATATACATGTAATATAACGGTAGGTAACTTATCCTTCAAGTTAACGGTGGGAGATAGAGATGCCTACCGGTATATTTTTACAATGTGGTGAGCCTACTACTACAGATTATTATTAAACTAAGTAAAACGTGGAACCAATCTAGTTCTATGTAATTGTGATTACACTCGTGTATGTATACATTTGTTGCGAACGAATATTATAAATTGAATGTTTCTACAGAGCGAAAATGCTGTTTAATTAATGTGACACACTACATTAATATTTACACCGCGCCACACATCAACATGGCACATAAAGCTGGTTGATCTACATTCGTGTTACGAACAGGATCATCAGTCTACAAAGATAATATAATAATTGGTGAAGTTATGAAGCAAATATTCTAACAAGATTCCAGAGAGAGATGCCGGAGGCAGGTCGCGGCTCCCAACTTGCCGACAACTAGTTAACATTCCGAGTGCGACAATAAATTGCGAGAATACCGCGCGATACAGGACACGCGGCGCGGCGCGGCGCGGGTGAAGACGCCCACAGACCAACGGACGGGTGCTCGGCTCTACTAATATTACTGTTATTTAGCGAAGTGGACTACATACCTAGCCATGCGTGGTAATCGCGAGTTGATGACTGCTTTCAACAATAAAAGCCACTACAACATATCGCGTACATACATAGCTTCATTTAGATACAGACCTATAGACACATTCACATATCTCTCATGCAAAATCACCCTGAGTCATGCCAAATGGTTCAGCCAGAGCGCCCATTCAACCGTCTACATTATTGGATATAGCCGGCGGCTAAATAAACTGCCCGCGGCTACACCGCAAACTGGATGTATCTCTATATTTAGACAATAAACGTGTAGGTACATAAACTAATTTTGAATAACAACGTTTTGCTCGCAATATATGTACATATAGACATAGCCAACATAAAAATGTCGCGGCATGTTCACATCGAATTTTATAAAACATATGTACCTATGCATAAGCCATTTGTTTTGTTCCGTTCACAATATTATGGGCCCCGGCGGGTTATGTAGTATCTAATGTGAACGTACAGACTCGCGGAATGTCCAACTTAGTTTTAGCATAAATTAACAACATTAAAGGGATTACAGAAGCCACTGAAAATTCGCTATGAATAAAATTAGGAGTCGACCTTTCATAACAATAACGTTTACGTGACGAGTTTACGGTCTGTCAGAGCAATTACGTAGAACGCTAGATATAGAGTGGAGGCGCTAAAGGGTTGCGAGTAATGGGAAATGAAAAGAAAACACCGGAGATAGACGCAAGTGGGTGTGCTAATGGAGGGCAACCCTTATGTCACCGCCACGCGCGGACACAAAGACAGGCGCACGGAGTGGTCGCTGCGCGCTTTGTGATCTGATCTGACGGACAGTCAGTGGCAGTGACGCGACCGAAGAAAAATACATATTCTGTGTAAAATTTCTTAAAAAAATATAACTTTTCTAAAATTCACATAAGACAGCTTGCGCATCAAAAGTTCGGTACATTCAACTTCCTTTTGATCATCTTTCCTTGTCATAAACGTCAAGAAACTTTGCCAAGATACAAAATCAAGAGTTATTTGTTGATAACGTTATTTTGAAAAGTTACCACCGAGTCTTCCTTAATCCTGATAGCAAGTGTTACTTTAAAATATTATCGACTCCAAGTTGCTCAATATTTTGTTTAATTCTTGATAACTCTCAAGTTAGAGAACACGGGGCAACAGTCGCTTCCGGCAGCCGCCCCCTGCCCGGCGCCTCTCCCCTCTAGGTACAATGTTTTATTCATAATCTAAGTAAGAACTCCCAAAACACCGATTTCGGCAGAGTCCATTAAAATCCCGTTGGAGAGAATTTAAATTGTGCCGATCCGGTGTGATCCGCTCGCGACAGACGTGGGTGCGACGTCGTACAATTGGCCACTTTCTATTTCTTTTATTTTCGTAGCGTTTTCCGATGACTAAAATCGGAAATGCTAATTTGCTTCGGAGTATGCCTTAGCGAGCGTCTCTTTTAATGAATATTGTCACCGGTGTGCTAATTGGTGTAATGTTCACGTCATCCGGGTATCGAAGGCAGATAGCTCCCTGCTACTCTCCGAGAAAAATAAACACTTTCAGCGACACAACTTTATGATAGAATCGTGACTCAACGGTTCTTAGGAACTTAGCAGTTTCCTAGTTTTTATGTTATACATTAGCCACACTTGGTTCAATGACTGACTGACTTTTGAAATCCGTGTTCCATTTGATATGTAATAACCTCGCCCATGAATCTTCCGTGTTTTACTATAACAGGGTCTTATTTGAATAAAGCGTTAGAACATGGCAGTTCTCGTTAAATATGTACCAGGGAATCATGAAGAGAGTGGAACAATGAAATATTCAAGTACCTAACGTACGGATTCCCCCCATTTGGAACTATACAAAATATAAGGCAACAATAAGTACAAACTGTAATTACATTTAGGTCTCATCATGTTTCTTAATGAATTCTTAACGAACGCGACTTATTGTTTGCGAATGAATGTTTTTTTCTATTCCAGAGCAAAGACAAAGTCGCTCAGAATGCTAATTATTTTTTTATTTACTAACGATTTTCTTTGACGTTTCAAAAATATAACACTTAGGAAAACCAAATTCATTTCTTTACTATTTCAGGTCAAATGTCCAAATTATTGCCGTCTTAATAAAAATAACGTTACTTGCAAAGTGAAAGCTGGAGCTGCTGTAAATTAATGAAGCAGCCTCCGCACTGGCAACTTGGTCGGTAAATCAACAAGTTCACTGTTATCTCCCGGCTGTCACACTGAGCTAAACACACAGATGTACTTCCAGCTAGCGATACAAACTGACTTTTGGTTCTGTGGAAGGTGAGCGCAAGTACTAGGAACACAGATATTTATCAAAAATCACGTTCTCCAACCAGGATCATCGCTCGCACATAAACTCAGTACTGTTCTTGTTATGTATGTCAGTATGTACTGGGTAAATGAATGGAACGCTGAACATCCAACACGTGACCACTTTACCTTATTTAATCGAGCCTATAACAATATGTATATTACATATGTTTTTTACATTTGCTTGATCTCGTATTTTTACTTGACCGACATGTTTATAATGTTCTTCAAAGATAGAAACATGTGTTCTATTACAGCCGTGGCTTGCTGCGAGGACTAAACAAACACATTTTACTTTATGTTTTCATTACGAAAACATAAAAATGTATGAAGGTTGGTAGGAAAAGGTTACATACATTACTTATTTATTGATAAGCGACGGACTAAATAAAAGTATAAGAACGGGAGCTGAGCTAGCTTCCAGAAATATTTTAGTGCAATACGGGTAAAAGCAAACATAAATATGAGTCCACATAAAGGGGAATACATAATATGAATCGCATTAGAGAAACATCTCGTCATGTCTGTCACGTAATATAATGCTTTTAATCTTTCACGATGTTGTAGAGGCACATCTCGTGCGCGGCTCCGACCTTCGACCTCCGACCTCCGCAACTTCATATTTAAACAGTTTTTTTGGTGATTCCTTTGACTGTTCATTTGAGAGGAATGCCTCAGCAACTCTAATTACACATTCCAGATACCAACTTCAATTTGTCAATACGCCGTTATGTTCAGCAGAAATACATGGTTAATATTAAATAGGTACCGATATCTTCGCAAATAAATACACATGTGAAAATTTGCTTGAATCGATTCTTTTTAGGTTTTCGCGATCCATGTCGGCAAGGTTGTTGATATTTTTAATTTCCATGAGTCGATAACGGTGTTAAGTTTGTACTCAAGGCAGAAACTTAATTCTCCACTTCAACCCATAGCAGGTTCAATTTTGTTATGTTCCCTTCAACAACCAAACACGGTAGCACATCCTTCACGTGCGCCATGGCAGTATTATGGCAGTCCCCCCCCCACCCCTCTTCTCACCATGGTGCGCTGTTAGCACGTACAACCGCAATTTATATTCGTGCCTCCAGCATCACATTTTACCTTGATTTATTTTATTTTCCAGGAATACAAAACACATGACTATCAAATAATAAAAATATACCAGGCTAGCCAGAGAATGGAGTTTAACGGTATTCTCTGAAACATAGCTAGTATATATTGTAACCACAATCCTCGAGCAGTTTTTTGTATGTCGGTGTATACAAGCGAGTTTGTACATAATTGTTACATGTACAGGAAATACGTACAAACATTTTCATGTACTTTTTCGAGATTTTAGGGTTCCGTAGCTAATTGAAAAAAAAAACAATAAGATTCGTCTTGTCTGTCTGTCTGTTCGCTGTCCTCTTTATCCAGAAAGTATAATAAATATACTGTCTAAACCTAGTAAAATGTAAATAAAAACACAACAATATTTGAGGTTTCCACAGAATTAGAATTATCAATATTTTTTTATATCAAACCTTTATGAGTCATGTCTACAGATAGGCCATTGATTATACCTTATATATATGAATCTGACTTGCAGTTGGCCGCTTTTTATTATTTTGTTATATTCTAAATACATAGTATACGTATGTGTTAACCACACACACATGGATTTTTTTGTTCAAAATTCTCGGTCTGACACGGAAACCAGCTGTCATTCAACAAAGCATTTGATCCGGTAGTTCGTTGCACGTTTTTGATAGGATTGCCAATACGCACCGCGCACCACACGGATTGAAAACCAACAACACTTTTACAGTGCCGACTAGTTTCGATTGAATTTTGCACAGCTATTTTCAAAACATTCAACTCTAAGTAAATTAATAACAATTTAAAAAAGATCTATCCTTGAATCCGCGCTGTTTAAGCGCAGTAGAAAATGTTAGAAAATCTTAAGCGCGTACCAGGTGAGCAGAAACTTGAAAAGCTTAACTCAATTATAGCCGTTTGGAACGCGTCGAGACGCTTGTGGTCTCACGCTTACTCGCTCAAGAACCTCTTTGCGCATTTTTAATGTTCAGGCTATTCGTCTTTATTCTGCGTTTCTTTGAGATTTCTTGTCCCACTAAATGTATTATATTAATGTTGTTAAACATTTCACGGCTCTTATTCTTTAGAAGTATTTAAAAGATAATCTTTCAGTGAACCATGTTGTAGATACACGAATGTATGCAATATCCAATCTTATATTTCCACAAGGACCAATTTCGTTGAGTATGTTGCGGTTTCAGAGATTTTTCTCCCATGTGCACTGAGATTGCGAAATGAACTGCCTACTCAGGTACCTTGCGGCCTTTGTATTCCTGAGGGTCCTAGGGGACGAGACTTTCCGGAAAAGACATCACGGATGTCTTTGGGGATCTGGCAATACTTGAGTGACATTTCTGTGACATGTAAATCAGAGTTTGGCTGTAAATTAATTTATAAATGGAAAGATATGTTCTATATGTGAAATTACGTAGAAAAAATGTAGATAAATCAATAACTGTAATTATACAAAATTTCATTTGAAATAATTCAGCAACACAATCGTGCTCGGATGTGAAGCCGTGGGGCAGCTCTGAGTTATTGTGTAAATTAATTCAATTGCTGAGTGTGGGACACTCCACACTACTGTTCACACTCACTGGTTTCCTCGACTGCGTCCTAATTTATGCACTGATACACAATAACACCGTAATATCACGGATGCGTCCGCCGTTGATCCGTCTTGAGCAAGCGTAGTGAACATTGTCTTTACCGTGTATTGAGAGAACAAAAGTTAATATTCTATTAATATAAAGAATTGCAGGTTCCATGTAGGATTACCAAAGAAACAAATATACGCAGTGGTTGCGATTATCGTAAGGCTTGATAACATTCATCTCATGATTATTTTAGGAAGATCCGATCCCGTAATAGGGTAATAATAAGAGTCGATACGTTTCCTAGCAGAAGCCATTGAAGAGCAACACAATAGTAAGGGTCGACATGATAATATAATCGAATGCTAGATAAATATAGTCGCAGTCACCGGAGGATTACTGGTTACATTCAGGTGTGAGCGCGGCTCCTGACAGCGGCGGATGTAATTAACGATATTTGCTACATGTCGACCCCCTTCTGTGTTTGACACCTCGTGCGAATTATGTTATTTTATATGAAGTACGTTCAATACAGACCCGCGGCTCATCATAGAGAGATGATGAGATATACTCCAACTCTTACTGGAACTACCGTTTTTTGTCCTAAATGTTTTTTAACAATCTCGACGCTTTAGTTTCATTATTTGAATTTTCTATGAAACAACCAGACTTTTTATTAAGCCCACAGAATTTATTGATTCGATAAGTTTAAACTAAATAAAAAGTTAATAAGCATCAAGTTACTTTGATTTTAAATTGGTGTAGAAAATAAGTTGAGTTTTGGTTTATACGTAATGGAGAACAAAGGTCCCGCAGTCATCGTCCATTATCTCTGGTCCAGAGAGACAGTGGCACAAGCACCGCGCATTATCCTAAAAACAATATTATCTAAATAGGCGAGTTAATGCCTCGGGTAATTTCTTCGTTCATTAATATCTGACAAAGTTGGCCGCCTCTGCTAAGCCCCTTGTCTCGCGAGCTCGCCGCGACGCGACTCCATCTCAAATTGGACTCAATTCTGTTAAACTTAAAGCTCTTAGTTGGAAGACTATTTAAGCACGTAATCCTCTTTCCGAGCCATTTTCTTAGGAATACATAAAATTAATACCCTACATGGTTTGAAATCGTTTTTAATTATAAACTAATCGCTTGTGTCACCTTAACACCCCGGATAAGGATCATTAAGCTTCAACACAAGTACTGCGACTCCTCGCTCTTATCTTATTTATGATTAACGACCTGCTGAGGGCCCATTCTTCTCAGAGTATAAAATTCTTTTAAAATACAGATACTGTCAACCAAGTTGTACTTACCTAAACCGCTGTGGCCAATTAGATAAAATGACACTAATGGATCTTTGCTGTTGGTTTAGAGTAGTGGTTGTGTTTGCAGAAGGTATTGTAGGCACTCACCGAAAATGCCTTGAGGAAGACGAGGCACTGTATGATGCCCTCCATAGTGTCGCCTGTGAGGCAGAAAGTGCCTGTCAGGTGGCGTCCCTTCTTGTCGCCTATGGCAGGTGCGGCGGCGAGGCTCGCGTGCACCAGCGCGCCGCGAGGGCGGGCGTCCCGCGTCGCCCCGAGCACGCCCGGCAGCGGAGCGCCTTCCATCAGCCTCGCTAGCGGGTCCATGCCCGCTAAGCTAACACACCATTGCACCGGTTTTACTCACTAATCACTTATTCACAACATTCACTGCGACGGTGTTTCATGTACTGTCACTGAGTGCCTAAGTTGACTTAATGTGGATAAAATTATACTAATTCATGTTTTGAGAGTAGGTTCAAAGTACCAGAGCATCAGTTTTGCGAAGAGAGGTGTGTTTACGGACGCGTGATAACATCGATACGCGACGATACAGACATGACCGAGGGGGTGATGGTGCGGTTAACACTGCAGAGGCTCTTGCACTCCTCACACTGACACTTCTGGTGCTCGGGGTTCCAGCACTCACTATTCAACAGTAGCGTGACGAACGTGTAGATCAATACAGCCATCCCAACTATTATGTATACTTCCATGCTGCACTTACACTGTTTGGCACACTATTTGGCACAAGTATTACCTGGCAGGAAACAAATCATGAATGTTGTTGCATTGCGATTTCACGTTTCAAGTCAAACATCAGTGGTGTATGGTGTCGCCGCGGCCGTGACATTAGTGGTGCAAACAAATGGAATGAAACACAATTAATTAATTAAATCGAGAGAGGAGCAACTCGTTCATCATTTTCAATAGCATTTATGGAAAACAAACGCGTCGTGGTGCGGTGCGGCGCGCGGCGTCCAGCCAGCGCTTATGTTGGCGCTCCGATGATTTACATACGACACGTGGCGCCGCGGTAATATTTAAATAGAATCATTCCAAACATCGATAACCGTTTTGCATACAAAAACTGTACAAAACATTTTGCACAACACAACAAACACGTTCTACATTGATCAAACAATTCAGCGTAATTAGATTCCAAATCCTTTTTGTCGTCGCATTGTTGGTATTCAGAATTAGATGTGAGCTCTTTATAATGAATGATATCTCACACAATCCGCATGAGGTACCCGAGGAGCCGAGCGCTGGCGGTGGCTCGGTGGCGGGGTGGGCAGTGAGCTGCGAGCGCGTGTAACAACAAACTCATTCCCGACTGATTGGCCTCATTGTGAGACGAGATCGCGGGATTTTATCTCGTCACGTGCCGACGTTCAATCACGTCGTATTCAATCGAACGACGCACACCTACATACATACCTACCTACTACTGTTCTATATTGGGGGCGGAATGACGCGGACCCTTCGATTTAACCGTTCTACTATTTCAAGATGTTAGTTCATAATAAAAGTATAATACGATACATGTTTCATATACTAAATAAACCAAACATTTTATTTCACCTATGTTCATTTGGAAAACGTTGAATGGTAACATAATAGAGAAATTAATATTCTGAGCCATGATTACTTTACGTATTATACGAATTGTTTTGTTCGTACACGAAGGACGCTTTATTCTTTTATTAGGTATAGTGGAAACCAAATGAACATTAAAATATGTCGGTACCTATTTAGTAGGGTTATAATCCGAACACGTACCGAGACGAAAGAAAATACCTATTGTTTGAGTTGCATAATATTTGAAAGCTATAAGAGTAAACACTCTTAGTATAGTGCTCTATATAAACATATTGAGCACTAAGTAGCTACTTAATGTCGATACGGCAATAGCAAGAGTGTGAGTGTGCAGTGTGAGCAGCTGCAGGGTGCGGGTGCTGGGCACCGAGCTAATGAGTGTCGACACACGTGACACCTCGACACGTGTCCCATGCATCGCTACAGCCACCCCATTTCCGAGCGCATTCTTCTACGTACAAGTATCCATATGAACTATAAACCAGTCGATGTATATCCATTGTTCCTATAAATACGAAAGTGCATCAAAAGGTTATTTTACCAGTAACTCAATCAGATTGCGCAGTCTATTATTTCTTTGTTTTTCTTTTTATAAAAAAACATTGCGCCACACTAGGATTTTCTCATGTCGTCGAGCCTACTTTTTGTATCTTATCTATAATGATGCTCGATACAATTATAGTTAGTTGACAATTAATTACCTACTACGAACATCGCAGATTAGCATCCCACTCAAACTTAGTTGTGATGGCTATACCTAATAAACTTGGGTGTTACAAATCTGTGGGTTTTCGTCAACTCATCTCGACCGTAACTCTAACTCAAACTTTCTTACGAATACTGCATTGTGTAAGGTGTCTAAACCACACAAAAATAGTTAATTTAAAACCGTCAAATTAAAACTTGTAAGGATCCCGGCAAAAATATAATTTCGTCAGCGCACTGCCACCGCTAGGACGAACGCAATTTAACAAATGAATGAGCTGAAGTAAGACGGGCGCAACTTGTTTCTGAAATCGGACTTCAAAGCATTATGACAATATTAACAAGGCGCTGGATCTTTCATCTCTTTAGATAAATATTTCTTCTGTAAGATTTAAAGCCGTTTAATCTTGTAATGTAAGCCTTTACAAATTTAACTTTACCCAAACTTTGACACGAGTAAGGTCAAGTGCTGTTTACCTTTTGAATTTCCCAGTCCACGGCCGGCCTGGATAATATTTACATTCTGGAACATTTGCGCACTGTTCACCCGAACTTGGTTTACACAGCCGACTACTTAGCTGAATTATTCTATTCGCACTTACACAAAAAATGTAATTCAAATAAACCAGCCAATGAAAAGCTCAGACAATAGGTTCAAGAAATTTTCCTTACCTAATCACCTCCGAGCCGGGGCTCGGCCGACAATCTTTGCAAATCGAGCAATTACGGAATTTCAATCAAACATCTTACCAGCACTATAGGTCAACGAAATGGGACTTTGTCATTACGACATAGAGTTGCCTTTGGGGTGTAGCAGTGGAAAAGGGTAGGTCGTCCGAGTTAAGCGCGTTAAGTTGGGGTACTTTATGAGTACAATGTTAATGTGGTGTAAGCCGGAGCCAGTGTCACGTAGATTAGTAGTAATGCGCACTGGGCGGAGCGGCGCTCCTTGGCCTCGCGATACTCTATAATGAATGCGCTGACAGTACAGCATCGATGTGATAAATAGAGTTCGTTTTATGTGAGGCGATTGATCCATCTCTCACCGCCATTACGTATTTATCTCACACAGCCGAGCGGCACTCGACGGGACGTGCTCTTAACCTATAACGCCGCAAGTACGCCGCGTTAACGCAAAATAAAATATGTATTACTAATAGGTACTCTCCGGGCGGCAAATATTGTTACACGCTTCAATAATGAACTCTCGAAAAATATCAGCGCTGTACTAAGTCAGTACATGTAGGAGTATATAACATTGTACATACGTACATTCGGTTCGTATTAAATGAAATGTTTTTCGTAGTCGAACATATAAATCGGCAGTTTAAATGAAAAACATCAGCTTTCACACAATTTCCAGCGAGCCTGAACTATTTGATCCTGGAATCATTTGAGCGAATAAACTGGAACATGTAGTTAACAATGATAAAATTGTGATGTATTCTAGCAACGTAAAATATTCAGTTGATTCCAGTGAATAGCGAATTATTCGAGTCGCAATTAAAGCTCAGCGTATCCGAGTCGTATGAATGAAGTGTTTATTGTCGGAGCAGGTCGCCCCGTAATGTGAATGCAGCCGCGCTCCGCCGGGATGACTATCACAAACATCTTGGTAAGCGCGCATAAAACTGAAGTGATCGTAAAACGATATCATTTGCTTTGATAATGCTAACGACGCCGCCCGGGCGGGCCCGCCATCGGCAGCGCCTTCTGTGTTGCTGCCATAGAGTCAGCAGAGATTATCAGAGAAACAACCAGATGGACTCGCTATTAACATTTTACTGGGATTAAGTTCTTAGGATCCGGGGATACTAACGATTCTCGCTGTAGCCAATACGGCGAGAGTAGTTAGTAATCATAAAGTGTTAGCTAGCTTATATTATATAATTACACCTTCTTAACATTCATCTTGAACTAGCAATTCTCTCGTCTTTGTTTATTTGTCAAGAAATATCGATGACCAAGGAGTTTCAACTTAATATTTCCTACAACACAATATAATGGGAGAAACCACGCGCCGGCCATGAGATAAAATAACAAAGACAAACAAACACGGAGGTCCTAAGCAAACGGCGACAAGTACCGGCGCGCGTGATGTCGGCGCGGCGCGGCGTGGCGCGGCGAGGCGCGGTGCGGTGCGGCGCCTGCGTAAACATCAACACCGCTATTGTATCGCGCCAAATTAACTGCTATGCTTTAAGAAAACCGACGCAAACATGGACACGACCACTGACTTACTGAGATACCGCCGAGATTAGTTTACAAATATGCAATGAAATTTATATGATGAATGATGAACCTCATAAGAAATTTAGTTATTCTGAAATAGACTCATCAAGTTAATAGATAAAAAAAAAGTTAATAGATATGACAGTCTTATGCACAATTTTATTGAAAAACCATTTACCCAAAGTTACAATCAAAGATATCACACTTCCCGAGTCACAGCTGGCTCTCGCGGTTCCAGGATACTAAGAAATAGGACAGCGAAGCAGTAACAATTGTAAATTAAATTTAAATTTCGTTTTATTACGAGCGATTCATAAAAACAAGTTTCGTAATCGTTATCGCAACATTTGGAGAATTGCTCGGCGACAGTACTTCTCCGAGTAAATCGTTTAAGTAATCAGTCGGCATAATGCGATCTGTCTGAGTCATCAATACAACCGGCACGTGTTCTATTGAATGGGAGACTATTGTCATTGGACGTATATAATTTAGTACGCGAGCTAATCTTAACTATACATCTGCCTATAACGATGTTTTACTGAGCTAGACAGTGGCATGCAAACAGTTACAGCCTTATTTTGCAAAATTAAAAGTTAGAGAGATAGATCGCGCCTCCTTTGTTGAACTTATTGACAAAATTGAAACCCAAGATTTCGCGGACAAGAGCCACTTACTATATATATATATATTTAACTCTCTTTATAAAATGCCAAATTAAGAAATTCGTCCAAATAGAAAACGTCGCCGCGTGATTAATTTTGACGTCAAGTAGGTACATAGTAGAAAGTCGGCTTTCTTTGAATTTGGAATGTAACCTTTTACGTATCTATAGCGATTCGTTACAGGACTGTAATTACAGAATAAATACAGGGACTCCATATACCAAGAAAATGTCATTGGAAACCCATTCGGCGGGGCAGACGCCCACCTCTACTTTAAGCATTATATCTATTTACTTAGCATGTTTTACACAGAAAGTCTATTACAAAAGTATCTAACGTCAAAAACTTTGAATAAAATCCAAGTTGGGAGCCGTAACTTGTACAAAGTGAGGGAAATTTTGTGATCTCTTAATCTATCTCAAGTATGACTCCTTTCAAGTTGAAAGTAAAATTTAACTTTTTAAGCTTTCAGTGAGCCGAGCTACGAGGTACCGGCGCTCACCTCATCAGAAAACTAC